ACTGCAAATTTGAAATGTGTGTAATAATGGAGAGAGTCCACAATGGAGCTATTTGAAGTCTGTCAATCAAATTGCAGAAACCTAAGCTGCAGTGCTGATTTTCAGGCAATTTCTTTAATTTGATGAAATGTATTTATCAGTATGGTAAGCAGTTGGAAGTACTGTCTCAAATGCTATAAATAGAGTGCATATTTGTAGCAGATATCTGTAGCAGATTGTCAAAACATTTTGATCTTAGAGGATTGTTTGCCGATGTTTTGTAACTCTTTCCTCCCCCCCTCCCATTTTTGGGTTTAGAAATGGCACATTTGACTTCAGCTCAGAAGCAAACTTTCTTTAGAAAAACTGGGTTAAGACACAATAGCACATTTGAAAATACCTACTGGCAGGAGTGCCTTTTCCCCATTTTAACGTTATTGACAGTTTGAATCTCTCTGGTCAGTACTTTTTGGTCTGGCAACATCTGTGGTCGGGTGTGATTTTAGTTAGCTGGATATCTACTCATCATGGGTGTGGCCAAGTTTCTCATGGTCCCATAAAGCTAGCCCTAGCCCCCAGTGTTCTGTACGGTTGTTTAGTTCTAATTTTTCCCTAAATGTCTTCTAAGAGCTCAGTGTGCAGTGGAACTGTTGGTAAAGCAGCTATACAGTATTGACCTGTGGTTTGACAAATTCTGTGCTGCAGCACTGGTCAGGTCTCAATACTGCTGGACTAGAGAAGTTCAACCTGTAACATCTTTATTTTGAACTCTTGCTTTGGCAGTGGTATTTACCAGAAACTTGGAATTTGGCATGGCTTTAACTTCTAGGTCACAGATATAGATCTCTGAAAGATGTAATGGAAATTGTTTTTGGTTTCTCAGTATTGTAAGGATTTACACAAGTCCATTTCTTAAAAATATGATCAGTAAATGATCTTTCAGAGTAATACCCATCCTACATATGTGTAAATTTAAAGAAACATTTAAGGAATCATATTTTCTTCCATACGTTCATTGAAGTTTCATAGGCACAGGAATTAAGATAGTGAGAGGTGACTTAAGCTAGAGAGTTGGCTGCATGAGTTGCTCTCCTTCATCTCAGTGGGCTGCAAGATTGTCATACCCAATCAGAATCCTGGGATAGAGTAGTTTTGCTAATTGTGCTTGCATGCCTGGAATTTGTGGGGCATGCTGGTTGAATCATGACAGCATTCTGATTGAATGCAGAGGAAGCACACCACTCACAGTGTGTGCAATTAGCATGTGCCTCACTTCATGTGTCCTGGCTTTAAGTGCATGTCATTTTTGTAATATTGATAGGAAAAAAACCTATACAGATGAAAACCAGCAGAACCTGGCAACTCTCTGTGTGAGCAAACAGTAAGCAAAATGTCTTGTGGCCACGCACAGAACTTCAGTGGGTGTCATATGACCCGGAAAGATTGCCCACCTCTGAGTTAAGACCTCTTTGGAGGATGGTATTCCATTGGTACAGGGTTAGACTAAGTGCAGCAATGTGTTCAGCTTGGAGCACACATAAAAAAGTGAAAGCGCAAATGTTTCAAAGCTTTCATTTGGACAGCATTGTCCAAATGGCACAGTGAATTCAGCAGCTCTGTAGAAAAAAGTGATCTTATTATTAAACTTTTGAAATATAGGGAAACAAGGGTTCAGAGTTAACACTTCTCAGGAACCTTATTTTTGGGT